AGGCATTTCAGGAACAAAAAGAGGGAATATCTGAAAGACAAAATTGATGAGCTTGCAATGAACAGTAAGAACAAGAATATTAGAGACCTGTATAGAGGAATAAATGACTTTAAAAGGGGTTACCAGCCTAGCAGTAACTTAGTGAAGGATTAGAATGGTGATCTGCTTCCCGATTCCCACAACATATTGAATAGGTGGAGGAACTACTTCTCTCAGTTATTGAATGAACATAGGATCAGTGATGTTAGGCAGACAGAAATCGATACAGCTGACCCATTAATACCTGATCCTAGCCCTTCTGAGGTTGAAAGTGCTATTGCAAAATTGAAACGGTATAAATCGCCAGGTAGTGATCAAATTCCGGCAGAACTTATTCAAGCAGGAGGCGAAATATTACGTTCTAAGATCCACAATCTAATTACTTCTATTTGGCATAAGGAAAAATTGCCTGATCAGTGGAAGGAGTCTATTATTGTACCAGTTCACAAGAAGGGTGATAAAACTGACTGTAGTAATTATCGGGGGATATCACTGCTATCAACTTCATATAAAATTTTGTCCAATATTCTTCTTTCAAGGTTAAGTCCATATATAGATGAAATTATTGGGGATCATCAGTGTGGGTTTCGACGTAACAGATCAACTACAGATCAGATCTTTTGCATTCGTCAGATATTGGAGAAGAAATGGGAGTACGATGAGACAGTACATCAGCTATTCATAGACTTCAAGAAAGCCTACGATTCAGTTAGGAGGGAAGTATTGTACAATATTCTGATAGAGTTTGGGATACCCATGAAACTAGTTAGGTTGATTAAAATGTGTTTAAACGAAACGTATAGTAAAGTCCGTGTAGGTAAACACTTGTCTGATAAATTTCCTATCCGGAATGGTCTAAAACAAGGAGATGCTTTATCGCCACTCCTTTTCAACTTTGCCTTAGAATATGCAATTAGGAAGGTCCAGGGAAACCAGGTGGGACTGAAATTAAACGGGACACATCAGCTGTTGGTCTATGCCGATGATGTGAATCTACTGGGTGATAATGTAGATACCATAAAGAAAAACACACAAACTTTAATTGACGCAAGTAAAGAGGTTGGTCTAGAAGTAAACACAGAGAAAACTAAGTATATGTTGCTGTCTCGTCACCAAAATGCAGGGCAAAATCATGACATAAAGATAGGAAACAGATGTTTTGAAAATGTGGCACAGTTCAGATATTTGGGAACAACAACAACAGATCGAAACCTGATTCAGGAGGAAATTAAGAGGCGATTGAACTCGGGTAATGCTTGCTACCATTCAGTCCAGAACCTTTTGTCTTCTCGTCTGTTGTCCAAAAACATAAAAATTAGAATATACAAAACTATAATTTTGCCTGTGGTTCTGTATGGGCATGAAACTTGGTCTCTGACATTAAGGGAGGAACACAGACTGAGGGTGTTTGAGAACAGGGTGTTGAGGAGAATATTTGGACCAAAGAGAGATGAAGTGACAGGAGGTTGGAGAAAACTGCATAATGAGGAGCTTCATAACTTGTACTCTTCTCCAAGTATTATTAGAATGATCAAGTCGAGGTATGTGAGGTGGGCAGGTCATGTAGCACGAATGGGGGGATGAGGAATGTGTATAGGATATTGGTGGGAAAGCCAGAAGGAAAGAGACCACAGGGAAGACCAAGATGTAGGTGGGTGGACAATATTAGAATGGATCTTAGAGAGATAGAATGGGATGCTAGGGATTGGATAGATCTGGCTCAGTATAGGGACCAGTGGAGGGCTCTTGTGAACACAGTGATGAACCTTTGGGTTCCATAAAATGCTGGGAAATTCTTGAGTAGCTGCAGAATTGGCGGCTCCTCAAGAAGGGCTCAGCTCACTGAGTAAGTAAGTAAGCATTTTTTAATTAATTTTAAACTGCTACATGAACTCAATAGTAACACAGCTATTTTGAAAAGTAACATTTGTTCAACATTTGCAAAGTTTTGAAATTACTATCATTGATCAATATCATGCGTCATCATTACATCACATTAAAACCAACCTGTCAATGTAATAATGAATGACGAAATAGTCAGACAAACCCGTACCTCAGTTCCTGGCACTGCTTTACATTCACAATTGCATATAAACATTCCATTGTCCACAAACGAATCTTAAATCATAACACTGTACTCCCACACGCCTCCTTCGACTAAACTTGCTAAACAGGTCGTACAGGTCGTATTGCCCACGTGGCCCACGAGCTGCGCCTATAGAACACATTACGTGAATAACTGGAATCAATGGAATGATTTGCTCGCACTAACTGGAAATTTAGATGCTACAAGAGCATTACACCTCCCCCCCAACCCCTTCCCATCAACAACGGTCAAACAATTTTAATCACAGTTTCACCACGGATTGTGACCGCCCACCAATAATATATACCTACGTACTGGCCAACGCGGTCACAGATTACGTGGTAGTCCATGAGAAACGGAGTAGGGAAATTTGACATCACGAGTAAAGACATCTTCACAGGAATAACAGCTTCCTATTATTCATGACTGCCGGTCACGGTAGCCGAGCGCTTCATGGCATGCACTGTCTTCGCTCGCTCGGAAGTCGGGATCGTGGGTTCGAATCCCACTCAGGGCATGGATGTTTGTGTGCGATTTTCTGTGTTTGTCTACAGGTAGAGGCCTTGCGACGAGCTGATCACTCGTCCAAGGAGTCCTACCGTATGTGTAAGATCTAGAAAAACCGAAGTGAACTGACTGCATGGAGCTAGGCCTAGGCCCACTGGGGCTGTAGGGCCAAGGAAAAAAAATTCTTCATGACTAACTTACGGAACAGGAATCAGTCTGAGACGCTAATAGCCACTTACAGGCAAAAAAAAAGTTATCCTTGTAACAGGCTGTAGAGGCCCATAGGGTTGTGAGACGTCGAGGCTTTCACATTTTCTTGACAATCGGCTCACAGATGGCGGTGTGGTTGTCAGCCTTACGCCCCTTTTCTCCAGGGAAGATTGTAAAATCGAATAACTGATCACTGATTGAGGTTAGCGCTTTCTAGGGGATCCAACTGAATTGGCATCTTCACCCCCAATCACCTGAGGACGGAAAGAAATTTAGTTTCGGAAACGTCATGTTGGAAAAATTCCAAAAACCCAGTAATTCTGAGTTCATTGTAATAGTTTATTTCGCACAAGACATGGAAGTCTATAGACGTTTTAAAAACCAAGTTGGATTCTAGTTAAAACAGTGCAAACGTTATTTATTTTATGTTTTTGTCTTATATGTATTCTTTGTTGTGTTTCATTTGTTGCTGCGTGTTGTAATTGACAGAAATATTTCTTGGTTTTTTGAAGGGTTCTATCCTAAGGTGACTGATGTGGTTCGTAGCACACACACATACTAGTTACCACAATATTTAGCACATATTTTAGCATACATGCAATTCCATATTATTAGATTCAGCGAAATATGCACATTGAAGTAATACTAGTGATCACGGTGTTAAAGATATATGACGTCACATTGTGACGTATTTCCTTGTGCTCTCAAGCGCTCCCAAGTGTAGTCGATATTGTCTGATAGCGTCATCTCACTGCGACTATTTGCGACCAAGAACGAGGGATTGAAGTTCGATCAGAATATTGTGGGGTTCGATATTTATCTATTTGTCAACAGTTGATTATATCGGATATATCGCGGTAAATTTGGAGTGCTGAAGAAATTAAACACGTTTATGGAAGAGATGGATAAAATGTTTTTCTTGAGTGTGAAGAGTTAATCTCTTTATGGATTTTACAACGCGTGGCATCCATATTGGTAAGAATTCTCCATTCAACGCTAGTAGGTTAAGTACGAAAATGATACACATTCCCCACTGCACTAATTCCAGAGATACAGAAATAATGTACTTTCATTCTGTTAGTAGCAGGTAAAGAAGGGGAAGAATGCAATATGGACCAACAAAAGATGCAGATGATGTTGGCTAGAATGATGGAAGAAAAACACACCTTCACATATAGAAAACTTGTAGTTCCTATGTCAATGCGTAGCATATACTGGAAATATTTTGGTTTCCCAGCCACAGATGATGGAGATATTCTCACAAAAGTAAAAATTGTGTGCATTTTATGTAAAACACAAATAGCGTACAACCGCAATACTAGCAATTTGCGAATGCATTTGCAGAACAAACATCCACATGAATTGTTAGAATTGGAGGCTAATACGCCACCACGTCGCCCAAGTATGGAGGCAAAGGAGAAACGATCACATAAAAAGTCTCTTAAAGCCCAAGGTGGCATTGGACCACCACATATCTACACAACAGCAGCAGATGGTACAGTGCAAATAGAAGGAGACATTCAATTCATTACTGACCCAAACATTAGCCTTCAGAACTTTGAAGATGGAGAAGGCACTAGTAATCAGAACAATGTGCGAGTTGTGTTGAAAGGTAGTAGTCCTGGTTTGTCCAATCAGAATGTGGCTATCATTCTCCCAGAAGACAATATTAACAGTCATCTTCATGGAATGATGGATGGTAAAACAGTATCTGATGCAATAGCAGAGTTTGTGATCCTTGACTTGCAGCTGCCAGATGTAGTAGAAGGTCGAGGTTTCCAGAGGCTCATTGCAACTCTGAGATCTCCATGTGAAATCCCAAGTAAGACAAAGCTGGAGGAAGAACTCATACCAAAAATTTATGATTCATTTAAAGAGGCTGTCCAGTCCACTGTGGCTTGCATCCCTGGTAAGTAAATGTCTCACTTTCATTGTATGAAGGGTGATGGAAGATAAGTTTCCAGTCTCTTATTTTCCCAGTGCCTGGCTAAACAATATTGTTCTGGATCATCTCATAGGTCTGTCTTTCCTTTAAATTGTAATTCTGATGCCATTTTGGTATCCTTGCTCTTTTTTCATTATCAGACCATTGTAATCATTTCTTAGCAAATTTTTTAAGTTTAACTCTTCTGAAATCTAAGTTTCTTAGTCTGTTCTCTCGTTTTTGAGGCCCACACAGCCCCTAAACAATGGGTACCAGGGGCTCCTCCCTCAGGGGTAAAGCAACCAATATGTGAAGCTGACCACTCACCTGCACCTAGTGCTGAGGTCAAGGATGGTGGTGCTATAACTCCACTCCCCTGTACATCTACATGGTATAGTGCTTAATTAATGAAGCACAGGGACAGCTCTTACCTTTTACCATATATTTTGTATGTTTGTTCGTTTGTAATTTCTTCTTCCCTTGTAGTTACTGTGATCAAATATGTAGGATCTGCATTTAGTAGTTCCATGAAATAATGTTTCCATGTTTCTAAATATTTATTTTTCTGCCATATTAAAGCACCATTCTTATCAGATACTGTAGTGTTATCGTTCACTAGTTTACATATATTTTCTATCATTACAGATAAGTATAGATATAATAAATATGAGTAAACTTATGTTTACCAAATAATATCAGTGAGTGGGAGTGACTGAATGTGAAATAGTGTGCTAAGAGTTATTTCATGAATGTCATTTCAGTATACCTACAATTAATATGGTTGCATTAGGTAAGTTAGAATGGTTTATGTTACAGCTAGTCATCATAAATAAAACACAAACTTAGTCACACTGGGGGGGGGACCGGTAGGCCAATTGTTATACTACGCTCACTTCATATACATTCACATTTGTGTATCTTTTGCATGATTTTAACATGATAACAGTTACTTTACTCTGCTTATAATTGATTCTGTGAACCACAGTAATTGTTATATTATTTGTACTGATTGAATAGACAGATTAACCAGGCTAAAGTGATATTAGATCCAGTGGTCAAATTTAAAGGCATTGCTAGATATGGGAATTAGGTAGTTTAAATTACCCTCAATCCATAAATAGTCTCATGAATGTATTGAAATATCAAACATTCATATTATAACACTCTCAGTTCCTTTGAAGTCTGTCACCAAAATTGGGTTGTGGTCCAAAGTTTGTCAGTTTCAACAGTATTAATGAATTTCATGGAGCAGAGTTCTTATGAGAAGGTAATATTTGCTCAGTTAAAGATTTACCCACCTTTCATGAAAGCTGAAAATTCATTACCATGTTCACAACATTTTGCCACTGGTCCCAATTTTGAGTTGCGTGAATTTAATTTACACCCTTTCATCATATTTCTTTTAAGTTGCATTTTAATATTATCTGCTGATGATGTGAATCTGTTGGTAGATAACATAGATACCATAAAGAAAAACAGAAAATTTAATTAGTGCTAATAAGGAGGTTGATCTAGAAGTAAACGCAGAGAAAATTAAGTATATGTTGCTGTCTTGTCACCAGAATGCAAGGCAAAATCATGACTTAAAGATAGCTAACAGACCATTTGAAAATGTGGCACAGTTCAAATATTTGGGAATGATAGTAACAAATCAAAATTTGATTCTGGGAGAAATTAAGAGGAGACTGAATTCGGGTAATATTTGCTACCAGAACATTTTGTCTTCGCGCCTGTTGTCCAAAAATGTAAAAATTACAGTATACAGAGCTATAATTTTTCCTGTGGTTCTGTACGGGGGTGAAACTTGGTCTCTAACATTAAGGGAGGAACAGACTGAGGGTGTGTGAGAACAGGGTGTTGAGGAGAATATTTGGAGTGAGGAGGAATGAGGTCACAGGAGGTTGGAGAAAACTGCATAATGAGGAGCATCATAACTTGTACTCTTTGCCAAGTATAATTAGAATAATCAAGGAGGATGAGATTGGCAGGGCATGTAGCATGAATGGGGTGAAGAGGAATGCATATAGGATACTGGTGATCAAGCCAGAAGGAAGGAGACCACTAGGAAGACCAAGGTATAGGTGGGTGGATAATATTAAAATGGATCTTAGAGACGTAGGATATGATGGTATCCACTGCATTTATCTCATTCAGGATAGGGACCAGTGGTGGGCTCTTGTAAACACGGTACTGAACCATCAGGTTCCGTAAAATGTTGGGAAATTCTTGAGTTGCTCCACAAATGGCAGCTTCTCAAGAAGGGCTCATCTTCATGGAATTAGTTTTAATATTATACTGTCATATACATGTACGAGTATGTCTTTCAACAAGTTGTCTCCTCTCTTCAGGTTTTCAAACTAAAATTTTGTATGAACTTCCCATCTCTCCTATGGTGCATACCTCATGCATCTCATTCTCCTTGATTTGACCTTGATTTATTCTTATCTTAATGTGATAGGTCAACTTTCACATCCTTAAAAAGTACAGCGTAAAGCTGTTTTTGTTCATGTATTTCAATCCTTATGCTCTTGGATTGGAGACATAGAGGCAAAAGATTCTAATCTGAATGGCAGCAAGAATTCCCACAAATTTAATCTGCTGTTTTGAATTTAACTGAATCTAATGAATGACTTTAATTTTTATTTGTAGCAGTCATTCCCAAGTAAATGAAAGCATCTATTAGCTATCCTTATATGTATCACATGTCTGGACTATATTCTGATAATGAGGCATGAGCATTTAGTTTTAGACCATCCTCCTTAATAGTGTCTAATATAGTTCTGTTTTCTTCCACTAAACTAACATCGTCAGCATGACCCAGAAGGTGATAAATGCTGTTCGGTCCTATTCTTTCATTATTTTCTTGGAACTTCCTAATGCAAAGATGACAAAAATATCTTTTTCAAGCAATTCTGAGAAGTAAATGAATCACACATATATTTCCTTACATAGATTTTACATGTGTGTTTGTTTATTACCTCAATCCAGAAAATAAAGTAAGGATATTCCTCTGAAACATCAGTATGAGTTTACAATACTACACTGTGCAACGACCCAGAAGACTGCAGTCTGAACACTTCCTGCTCTGAAAACACAAAAATCTATTCATTTTAATTAGCCTAACTTGTTTGATGTATATGACCAATTCATTGAGAATGTTGTGCAACACTTCTCTCCCATTTTTGCTTCAGTATATGATGAATACAGAATATCTGCCCAGTAACTGATCTGCTACATCAAAATACACATTGGTCCCCAGTAATTCCATCTATATATGGAGTTGAACTTTGCTTCTAGGCTTATTTTGTCAGTGACATTATGAATGCATTAAACATGATAACATGAATAATGTGATATCCAACAGTGATGTTATTTGGTTTATGAATACAGTACAGAGAATTAAATCTCTTTTCCTACCTATGGTATATTCATCCCCATTGAGCTGCTGTGCATATCCTGTGCCTTGTGTAATAAAGAAAATTTGTGTGTGTAGGCGAGGTTGGCCTCTCTGTGGAAGAATGGTGTTCTGGGAATGGAGAGGTATTCATTACAGTGGCTGTGCACTACCAGCACCAATCAACAGATGCCCTTATGGAGACCAGAGTGCTGAGCACAATACATTGCCCCTGTGATATGGACGTAGCACAGTGGTCTGTAACATTTGACAACCTTTTCATGGAGTGGGACATCAAGTTGGAACAAGTCACAGCTGTTGTGGTGGCAACAACACGGCATGAAGTGATCAGAGCATTATCTGACAAGGATCTAACACTTGTTCCATGTCTCGTTCATAGTCTGCAGGTAGAGAGGAGTGGTGATTATTCAGAATTGATTGCATATGTTTTAATGAGATTTAATATGGTATTGATGAAATGTTATTCTGGAGAACATTTATTTCTATATGTCAGTCTTTTGTGGGGGCAGGTATATGAAATTCCTGTGAAATTTTTCAACAATTTATGTAGTCCTCCCCCCCCAGGAAGTCAGAGTTATTTGGGAGGGTAAAGAAAAAATGTAAAGCTATCCCTGTAACAGGCCTTGGAAGCACATGGGTTGTGAGACTTTCAGGGTCGCACATTATCTAACGCACTGTTTCCAAACCTTTTTGATGCCGCGGACCCCCTGTACCAAATGTTAATTGACCACGGCCCCCATAAAACCCAAAATGGAAATTTTTTATATTTTACATATCATGAAAGTGAAGCAGTAACTTACAATTTTACAACACTAAATGTGTCATTTATGACAGTAAAATACTGTTATAAATGGAGCTTATTCGGAAGGTCATGAACATATCAATTAAGCCTAATATTATGAATTTAACACTCACCTAATCAACGATCCACACTTTAACCACCGATCCATATCCAAATAAAATCGTGAACAAACTGAAAATCAAAAGTTTCGTTGTGAACTCAATTATTTGAACAAGAGCAGAAAAACTGAATATTAAACCGAGAAAAACACACTTGTATAATATTATAAAAATCCACTGCACAAATCTAAAGACACATGGGTTGTTCGCTCTGCCACTGAAATGAATAAGAAATGTGGACAGTGGTCCCAGCTTTATTCCCAACCAAAGGGCAACTGATTTACGGAGGGTGGAGGGGGAGAATGGTCAGACAGCAGGTAAGGAGGACAACAGTCCACCCTGAAACATGGGTCTGAAATGCAACAGGCCAATCAAAAGAAAATGTCCTTGGAAAAAGCTACACAAATCGTTGGTTATTCACCTCTGCTTTACAAAGGGAAGGTACTGTTACGGTACCAACAGTTCCATTAAATTTTACTTCAACCATGGGCCTCAAGAGCCAGAGATATACATTGCAAATATCCCAGGTGTGAGGAACATGATAAGATAAAGTTTAATGAAAATAAACTATCCCACGAACCCCCTTTGAATTAGTCGTGGACCCCCGGGGGTCCGCGGACCACAGGTTGGGAACCACTGATCTAAGAAAATCTGCTCAAAGATGGTGGTAAGATTGTCAACCTTATGTGCCAGCTGCACTTTACCCCCCAGGAAAATTCCTAGTACTCATTTCTGGTAGAGGCTGAGTCAACTCCAGGGCCATTGTGCAGTGGAAAGGATTAGGTGAATTTAAAAAAATCCTGTAACCTCATTGGGACTTGAACCCACGACCTTCTGGCTTGTAGCATAGTGCCTCAACCATCTACGCTACCATATAGGGAGTGACCTAATGTAATTTCGTTCAAATCAGTAAAGATTCGCATATTAAGAATTGGTGGAATTGGGCACCAATAGAAAAAAAGTAATCATACAATATCTGTTTGCCAAATGCTGTTTTGCAGAATTTGTTTGTATATATAATTAGTATCCTGGGGAAGAACATGGTGCCCCCCCCAAAAGTGTGCTGTAATAAACATATATTGTTATCTTATGGTCGCTTCCATGTTGCTTCTATCACATAAGGAAATTGATCTCTAAGATTTCTGCCCTAACAGTCTATCATGTCAGCTTTTCACTTATTTCTAAAGTAAGAGGCAATGTGTTCCCTTCTTCTATATTTACACATGTATATATGTTCATAGACCACCTCTGTGGCCTAGTGGTCAGAGTTCCTGGCTACAGATCCAGAGGTCCGGGTTTGATTCCTGGCACTACCAGATTTTCTGAGAAGTAGAGGGTCTGGAACGGGGTCCATTCAGCCTCATGAGGATAATTGAGGAGCTGTTTCAAGGAAATTAACAGCCGTGGGGATTCGTTGTGCTGACCACCTGACACCCCTCTATCAACTAAAGTTGGCATTAACTTCGCCAGCAAACAGTGGTTACTCAGTTGGTATAGTTCGCTTGCAGACTAAAACCACAGAGTTTGTTTTTTGTTTGTATATGTTCATATCTGTCTCCTCTGTATGATCCCACCATGTAAGATATAGTCCTGATTTAAGGGTAATATTGTGCCTTACTTCCTTAGCTTTGCACTGGTGCATGTTTTGAACAACCTGATGTGGCAGCCATATTGAACAAGTGCAGGACTGCTATTGGACTCATTGGAAGGAGCAATGTTGCAACCACTGCCCTCAGAATCCAGGAACAGATGATGCAGGTGAGTCATGATCACGCTTGTACCTGATTACCAACATAAATTATAATTCAACCCAAAGGTTTAACACCTATAGTACCTATCCACTTTTTTTGTCTTCAAAACCTTCCATAAGATTCATTTAATATTACCCTCCCCTGCCTACTAAATCTTCCTGTGTTGTTTTCCAACAGAATGTTTAGGTAGAAAGTAAAGTAAAAAGTACAATTTGAATTTCTCACATATATGCTACTTGTTCCATCCATTTCTCTTGAATTATTCATCCTAGTAACTTCTTATAGATGACATTATCTGGAAAGACAAAAACATTATTTCTTTAGACTGCCACATATATTTGACATTTTCCAGTCTCATTTTGGTTAAAGGAACACATTTCAGAAGCTGGCTGTCCTTCCGTCGCCATAAAAAAGTATGAAACCTACTCTGTTGAGCACATTAGATAGAGTTAATTTCTGTCCCTAACTCAGGGGTCTAAATGTACATTTTACTTGGTCACATGTGAATTTTTGAGAAAATCTAAGATTTGCTTAACATTAAGAGATGTGTGAGAGGAGGCTTTGTTTTTACATGTTTGGGACCCTTGAAGTATCAGGAGATATTTTAATTTCCTGTGACTGCCACAAAATATAGTGTAACGGACGAAGAATAGTCGCTGCAAGAAGAGTAGCCGAAACAACAGGAGACACTGCAAGCACAGCTACGGGACGGAAAAGGAACGGGGGTGCACCGTTAGGCTATTCGGGACGAACAGCCTTAAGGAGGGAGCAGTGTAACATGTTGAGCTATGGATGACGCCCCCGTGATGCGCCGAGCGAAGCCAAAGTAAGCCGAAGTTAGCCGAGTCCTAGCATCCTGGTCGCTATGCAACGCGAGTCAACAGCGATGATGTCACCAAGGGTACCGCGGGTAACCAGGATTGAGAGAGACGACGGTAGTAACAGCGGTTACTACCGCTAGCGTGCTAGCAACACAGCGCCAGGCAACAAGGGTGCTTATTACGTGGCCGTTTTCTGTATTGTCCAATCGAGGCTACATGAGGAGCAGCGAAGGCTATTCACAGTTAGTCCTCGAGCTACCTCCGAGTTA